CTGCAAAATACAAAAGTCATAAGGAAATTTACGAGGGCGCGATAATGAAAGGATGCCGAGTGTTACAGAAGGTGCAACAATTACATGACTCAGGGAAAGGCGGCATGGATGTTTTCTCGTAAGATATTTCGACGTGTAATAAATCATAAATATTTTATGTCGTTACATCTTGATGATGAATCTGTATATTAAATACAATATATTTGAGTCAAAAATTTCAATGTTTTATGATAAAAATATTATTTATTTTAAATAAGATATTGTCATCTATAAATGTATTATTTATACTTGAGATAATGTTTAATTTAATTTGAAGTTTAATAATTCCACGAAGAAGAGAAATATTTGCTAAACGTGAATTCTTATAAATCTAAAAAAGTATCATTTGACAAAAGCATTTGTGGTGCTCTGTAGACAAATTTTAGGAGGCATGTTAGGTTCAGCGATACTGAAGGATGGTAATCCGTTGACACTGCATTATGTGATGTTCATACCGGCTATTATGGGACAGGGCACTGTCGAACAGCAAGGATACTGGATATCCAGGGCTTGGAGCTGTAATATCATCGGTACTTATGCCCAAGTATGTTTCTTGACTGAATATTACTTATCACAAACTTATTATCATTTATGCTTTTTTTTTTTAAATATGTATATATATATTCTTTTTTATTCTAAATACCGCTTAATCTTTAGAATAATAAAATCATGTGTTTCTCAGACGGAGCTTGGTCATGGTACATTTATTAGAGGTTTAGAGACTACAGCGACCTATGATCCCGAGACCAAAGAATTTATATTGAATAGCCCGACTTTGACATCGTACAAGTGGTGGCCCGGTGGTTGTAAGTATTTTAAAAAAATCCAAACTAACGTATAGCCAAATCGCTTTTGAGACTTATAGAAAACGAAATAATTTCAGTGGGTCATACGGCAAATTACGCAATTGTCGTTGCACAATTATATACGAAAGGAGAGTGCCGAGGTATTCATGCTTTTATTGTGCAGCTCAGGGACGAGAACACTCATGAACCCTTACCAGGTATGTGAAATCTCGTAAGCTCATTTTATGAATAAATTTTATATTTTTCGCCGAATGACGCGTTTACAAATGACAAAAAAGATTTTTATGTTAAAAGACTTATCTTTAATTCTCAGGTATAAAGATCGGTGAAATTGGCACTAAATTAGGAATGAATGCGACTAATAATGGCTTTCTCGGTTTCGAGAACGTCAGAATACCACGTGAGCACATGTTGATGAAAAATTCTCAGGTAATGAGAGAGAGAGAGAGAGCGAGAGAGAGAGAGAGAGAGAGAGAGAGAGAGAGAGGGGGGGGGCACGAAACATTCTCACGATTGATTATTTAAAAGTCTAATAGAGAAGTTTAAAGGTATAATCATTCTAATTTTCAGGTGCTGGAGGACGGAACTTATGTGAAAGCGCCTAGCGATAAGCTCACCTATGGTACAATGATGTTTGTTCGAGTGGTATTGGTACGCGATATCTCTAACTATCTGTCGAAGGCGGTGACAATAGCTATCAGATACAGCGCAGTGAGGCGTCAGAGTCAGATAAAACCCGAGTATGTATAAAAAAAAATAAATATTCTTAGGATAATACCGATAATCAGTTGTACCGTTGAATATATTTATGATAATCAGTTACACTGTTATACACGTTGCTTGATATCGAAGTGAATAATGAGAATAAAAATCGTATCTTATCATCTCTGCTTTATTATCTTTTGTTTTTTTTATCCAGTTTAAAGGTCGGATTGTGCATAGCAATTAGACTAACAAAATATTCAGAATCTTAATGTGGACAAATTGTTTGGGTTTGAAACATTTTGTTGTACATTTTCTTTTTGTTTAGACTCATTGTTTTATTTTTTTTACAATTCTGTTAACGATCTTGAAAAAAGTTTTTATTTCTTTTTTTTTCTTGAAAATCAGTATGTACATGCACGTTGTCTGGTAAATTTGTTGAAATAATTTTTTATCGAAAATCATATATCTTAATGCAATTCAAATGCATTTAAATATATATTTTTTAAATTTATTCCAGTGAGCCGGAATCGCAGATTATGAATTATGTTACTCAACAGTATAAATTGTTTCCCAATCTCGCTGCGTGTTTCGCGTTTCGAATGTGCGCCGATTGGATTTGGGAGATGTACAACAATGTGACAGCTGAATTAGATCAGGGAGAGCTAGAAAGATTACCCGAGGTATGTTAAGTACGTCATCGTAATAAAAATACAAATTTTATAGTTAAATGATGTCTCAAATTACGTGATATAAAGATTGATTTAGAATATAATATGTAACAAATTATTTTCCCGTTATTACTAGAAAAATAAAAAAAAATTTTTTCAGCTGCATGCGCTGGCATGTTGTTTAAAGGCAGTTGCATCGTCAGACGGAGCTACTGGTATTGAGCAATTACGACTGGCATGTGGCGGACACGGTTATATGGATGCGAGCAACTTACCGGCGACTTACGGTTTGGTAACTGCTACTTGCACTTACGAAGGCGAGAATACAGTTCTGTTATTGCAAACGGCTAGATATTTGGTGAAAGCTTGGAGGCAAGCTGTTGGCGGTGAACCGCTGCCGCCGACTGTCGGATATTTAGCTGTTCTTTCGCGTGGAGTAAAGCAGCGTCCTTGGAAAAATACTTTATCTTGTATTGTGCAAGCTCATCAAGCAGTTGCTGCAGGGTAATTATACATGTACAGGAAATACATAAAAAAAATATCCATATTTATGTACGAAAACTTGTGAACGGAAAACAATATTGCAATTTAATAATGTTTTTGTAGCAAAATTCGCTTGGCGACGGAAAACATGGATCGCAGAATACGTAGTGGTGCGTCACCGGAAGACGCGTGGAATCAAACTAGTATTGAATTAGCACATTGCGCGGAATCTCATTGCCGAGCTTTCTTGGTGATGAGATTTGTTGAAAATGTCAGAGGATTGACATCCGTATCCAAGCAGCTCCACGAGGTTCTGATGCAACTTTGCGAGTTGTACTCGATATATTGGGTATTACAACGGCTTGGAGATTTCCTTCGTGTTAGTATCGTGTAAAACTTTGTAAAAACTAAAATTATCATATTTCGAAAAATACCGAGTCATTTTTATTCAATATGACGATGTATTTTTTTATAATTACAGTTTTCCTGTTTAAATAACGAAGATGTTCCGGCGCTCCAGACACGCTTCGAAGAAATGCTCGCTGCAATCCGTCCAAATGCTGTCGGTATCGTCGATGGATTCGATATTCGCGACGAAATCCTCGCATCCGCGCTCGGCGCATATGACGGCAATGTCTATCAGCGTCTCTTCGACGAGGCGATGAAAAGTCCTTTAAATCAAGAAAGCGTTAATCAATCCTTCCACAAATACCTCAAGCCTTTCCTGAAAAGTAATTTATAGTCCTATTGTGTTTATCACAAAATAGTCAGCTAAAAAAGAGAGAGAAAGAGTTCTGTTATCACAGATAAAACCGTTTAAAAATTTCAATAAGTTTGTGTGGAAAAATCTGTCAGCATTTCCTAAGAGTAATATTGGCACTAAAAAACTAACTCGCATAATTACAAATGCAAAACAAATTGCAAATACTGCAGGAAACCTAAGATGAATAATTCTATAAGGTCCCTTTTTTCTCATAGTAGTTTTAATGAGTTATGAAGTCAAATTATTACCATTAAAAAATCATTTTACGAATATTTTTCTTACAGTATAAATGAAAATAAATTAATCTTTTTGCATATGCTATCACGCATGTTATATAATATAATATAATTATTATAAATATAACAAAATTTTGCATTCATGGATTGTTAAATAATTGTAAATTAATTATTACAAAAATCTACTCGTAATTGGAAATACGAGTAAGACACACTCAAATATTGAATTATATTTATTAATGTAGAATAATAAAAACAAGATCACTTTCGACATATTTTAACAGTCCATATTATTGAACGTGACAGCATACAAAAAACGTAAATTTATTGTTATGCATATTGCAAGAAAAAAAATTCACATATCAATTCTATAGTGAGAAAACAGGAGCTTTAAGTATGATAAAATATTTCATTCATTTTTTATGGTATGGTAAATAACTGTCGCACAATTATACTGTATATTATTATGTATAATATATGAAGATATGTACAGGATTTTCTTGTTACAATTATATATGTCCATACTTCAGGAATTTCGAACAAAGCAAGTAAAGAATATGAATATAAATTGTTTAGGTTTAGTTTTTTCGAGTTTTACATGTATACGCACATTTTTGAATATTTTCATTTTTTTTCTTTGATATATTGTAACGAAAAAAAATGAAGCTTTAAATGACTTCACACTTCATATAAAACTTAGATTTTCTGAAGTATTAACATATAATTAAGAAACATCCTGTATACATCGGTGTCCCATATTAAAATGTTTGTCTCTTGAAAGACAACATTTTTATATAGCGCAATTTAACGGAAAGCGTTTATGAAATTGATGGAAATGTATTTGTCTGTTATACATTTTTCGGCATCTGTATTAACATTATGTGATTGTTTTATGTATTGCGTATGAAAGTGTCTTCTACGTTCGTAAACCAATTTTTAAAAAAGGTAATCGATATTTTTGATAGTAATATTTTATAAAGTATAAATATTGTATATGTGAAATGAGGACACATGCAAAGTATTGTTTTATAAATGATAATACGAATAAAAGAAAAATGTAATTTTTACGATTAGATGTCCTAGTATGTATTTACAGATTTACTTTCGAGGATGTTATATTGCAATTTAATGTAACTCGAAAGTGTGAATATACTATATTTTGATATACAAATAAAGTGCAAATAATCTTTCTTCGTTATTTCGGTGGTACGGTTCTACATATTTCCTGAATTCCTGCACAATTGTGTGAAATGGACGAGATGATGTTCATCGCATCTCAAAGAAGTTTCCAACGCGTTTCCTTAGACGGTATAGTATTTTATTTACAGAATAGGAGCGACGACATACATTATTGTTTGTTATTATACTAATATAGTGCAATTATTAATTTCCGTTAATTAAGAATAACGTAATAATTACTTGTGAGTGTCCGCAACAGCGATAACACGGATATTCCAATCTTTTTCATTCGGTAAGTTGTTGCTTGTGGTATACGACATCGTTGCGACATTATACATGTGGCAGGAAATCGATTTTAAATTTTAAATGGAAAACGTGGGAGAATGATATATAAAACACTTTGTGTGAGAAAAATCGAAACAAATGCGTTTTATCGCAGTTGCGCGAGCGAGTATAATATATCTCTATATATTTATATATAAGTACATATACATGTATATACGTATTTTGTGGGTTCGTGCACAGACGGAGATATATACACATATATGTAATATAGACCAGTTAGGGAACAATGGGAAAAGGACGAAGAGGAAGTAGTAGGAGGAGGAGCAGGAGGAAGAGGAAGAAGGAGCAATGGGACGACAGTACTTACACTTAAAAAATAACATTGTTAATATTATCATTATTATTAAATATTAATCCACTTTTTAAAATTATTTTCATTCGTCCACCTGGCCTATGGGCTTTGCCTAGTATTAGACAGACTTCTCATTGCTATAGTGTTCTTACGGAATTACGTCTTCTTATAAAATATGATTTCATTACAATTATTATTTTTTCTTCCTCTCGTCGCTTAATTTCTCTCAGACGTTAATTGGCCGCGTGGTGAAGCGTAAGCTAGCAAAAGCTAAGGCAAGCGACACCACGAGGTCAATTAATTACTATCTAACGAACAATTTCATCTATATCGTGTATGGTTATTAATAAAGATTACGAGCCCCCGATTTCTAGGTCTTTCCTCGTTTACTTCACACGAGATCAGGATTTCCAAGAGATAGACAGAAGGAGATATTAAAAAGATGACATGAAAGGAAAAACGGGAGTATTATTGACAAAAGCATCTCATAGCACATGCTGTGTTTTTAAAAAGTTATAGATTCGATTGAAGAATCGTGTGAAGTATTGGAGGAATCTAATCGATCCACATTAAAAAAAGATGAAAATTAAAATGAGAATAATATAATAAAGAAATGTCGGTTCGATAAGGTTACGAAAGGGAGAATAGGGAGTATATTTCTTTGATCATAATCGGCATTATATCTAACTATCGTTACTAATGTTCTTATCATTATTATTCTTATTGGTTGATTTTCTATGTGTATTCCAAATTCAGATACGTTAAAAAAAGAGATTCTCCGTGAAAGAAAATAAATTTAGTAAAATTGAGTGCTTTCGAAAGCGCAAATAAATTTCGAGGAATTTCGTTCGAGGCGCATACAAGTAATCTTCAATCAATTGAAATGTAAGTAAATAAAATTGTCACAATATGTCAAAGAGAAATCGTCGGAGCAACATGCAACGCGTTCAATGAAGATAAATTGAAACAACAAATTTGCCGTGGATGAGAGGGAGCTACATTATTCTTGGTAATAAAATAAATAAGATGTTTAGTAGATTCTATACACTTTATAATAGTAATCAGCACATCCGGACGTAAGAAGCACGAATCTCAGCTAAAAAATAAATTCGTAGGGGAGTAATGGGGATTGAGAATAAGGTGGCAAACAACGTGATGATAAGGCGGATTCGTGAGAGTTTCGTACCAAATCGCTGTTCCTTACGTAGTATATATGGCAGTATCGGCATGATATACTTTTTAATTTACTCCAACGTGTCCGATTTTCCGCGACGGATCGGATTCTGCGAAAAGACGACGCTCACGTACTTGTTGGGGAAGAATAAAAAAAAAAAAGATAAGGCTCGGTGCAGGATCGTTAAAAAATTACAGAAAATAAACGGGAACGACGGTGAGACAAAATGGTCAAGGAAACACCACCGTGAAGTGGAGGAAAAACGTTAATAAATAGGTGGACTCCGCGATGCGGATCGATCGCGTGACAAATGTCGCCGTGGAAAAAAATTCCTATACGAACGAATGTATAAGCATTTGTATCGCTTTTCGCGTGTTCCCTTTCGCTTTCTAATACAGCATTATGACATCATTTCTGTCGTTACTAAGGCGTGCGCGCTTATTATATCGCTCTTGGGGCAAGGAACCACATATTCCCTCTTTTTTTTTTTCCGTGTCGTGGCTAATTATTTGCCTTTCAAACGCAGCATCCGTCTTTCGCTTTATGGCAACGTGACTTCTCTGTCATTAGAAGTCTGTAAGACAAGATAAAGATAATCCTAGACGGATGTATCGAGGATTTTTATTAGCATCAGAATCGATCCGATATAATAAAAGCGGGATGTTTTCATCTTATGAGTGGAAGGAGGGTTTGACGTCCCATTGCCATGCAAACATGATTCAGTGAACTCCCGAACTATTTCTGCTCATCCGACACTCCCGAACATCGGAGAAATGAAAAAGATTCAAGAGTTTCTAGAGATTCCTCGCGTGTTTTAACAGCTGCATTTTTATTTCTGCAGGAATACAATTTGGAAGATGGAAAAACCGTCGATTGTGTGTACTGGGGGCGACACGCACGCATGGCTGCCGGGTTCGCGTTTCAAAAAGATATGGCACGCTAACTGAGAATTTACTTTATTTGCTAAATGCATCAATTGCAAATTGGCGATTCGTACAGCATGTTCTAATAAAAATTTGCTGAATGCCTGGCAAACATGTGAAACATGATAGTCATAATTATTGAGATTTTCAGTGTATTGTTACATAAATTCTCGATATATATTAAACATGATTTACATGAAGCGGTTATCGAAGCGTAAAATGATCCAAACTGCGAGCAAGTTTTATATATGTTTTCTATTACCATCGAGTCTTATCTTAAAAATATGAGATACACTTATCTCGCGCAAGAAACACGCAGGAAGCTGGCGTTAGAAATAAATAATCGAATCAATCGAGAAGAATCGAAAGGACTCTTAATCCTTCTTACTGAATAACTCGAGATTCAAACGTTGAACTGTTCGTCTTTCAACGTTCTAGGATACAACGAAACGAAGAGAGAAGCTGCGCAGAGGAAATACGTATAAAATCTTATATATGTTTCAGAAATAATCGCTATTTATATAACGATATGTACAATACTTGCGACCGATCGACGGATAAATAAATTTTTCATAATTTTGTGCAACAACTTATATAAATTTCTAAGAAATACGTCAAATTAAATATTTCCTTTGTTTCCCTCGCAATACGTAATGTGGGTCGACGCGGTCGCGCTACGATTAATGCTTAACACATATTCTTAATATAGGCGCCCTTTTTATCCTCTCTGCAATCGATCAATATAGTCAACGAGTCCCACCGTTTTCGCCTCTATTGGAAACGCAAACGCGCAATAAAACACCTAAATCTTCGTCGGAACTCAGTATTAAGCGCTCGCAGTATCAAACAAATATCGTAAATTTAAAAAAAAAAGGAGAGAACAAGTAATAGCAGCGACGCGCGAACGAGGTTGCAGCTTAACTCTCTTCGCTGCTCTCGCTGTCGGAGAGAAATCACGACGCCGCAACGATCCTTCTTCTCCTCCCTCCTTCCACCGAGAGACAGAATGATTAACGACATAGCAGCGGCGTTTATCGCCCACGAATTTTCACGCTCTCAGTCCTGTACATGTATATATACGTATACATACACGTAAATATACAAATATATATATATATACATATGCATATATGTATATATTTATATAATATATATACGCTCTCTAAATACGCTTGTAAATGCAATCGTGGAATTGGTGCAACCTCGCCGACGGTGTCTCGACGGGCCTATATTACGAGAGCCGTAGTCTCTCGTCGTTCATTGTCCGTCGCTTCAGTCACCCAGCCGGGATGATTACACTCCAAAGAGAATCTTTTCAAGGAGATCAGCGAAAACGCGGTTAAAGTCGCAGGACGAGGAAAAGGAAAGTCTGTACAGGGGTTGCGCAAAAGGGCGAACCGGAGCGTCAGGCTGAAAAAGTTCGGCGCTTGGTGAACGGTCCGTCTGCTGAGAGCCGCGAATTCGTCTTGCCTCCGACTACTCTTACTCGCGCACATCTATTTCGAACACGATGAAATACAGCGCGTAAGAAAATACAGTTTCCTAGAGTCAAGAGGAATTCGAGCGGCCGAGAAGCCGTTAACGTCGTTTTGTCACGGCTCGAACTCGCGTCGAGTTTAAGATCATAGGGGAAGCTCGGAAAAATCGTGAAAAAAATTGCCTTTTGAGGGGGGTGGGGGGGCAAAGGGAAGGGAAAGAATCCGAATAGTTAAGTGGGGATATGTTATAACGATCGATTTAAAGCTAAGAACAAGGGAAGGGCAGGGGCCGATCGGAGGAGGAGGATTCCGTGTAATCGAGAATCGGCCGACATTCTGAGCGACGTTCCTCGGGTAAAACTTTGCGTTTCGGGAGAGTCTGTGAGCGCGTGCCATGCGATTCGCCGTAGTAATTGCTTCCACCATCGACCAGCGGGGATTCCGAAGGCGGGCGTTGATCGTCGGTGGGTCTTTACTCGGCTCGGCATCGTGAGATCGCGAGAGGAAGCGGCGAAGTCGCCATCGCGCCGCCGTCGCCTCAAGCGTAGAACTCCCGGTTGTGGTGAGGCGCGCCCGGCTTAGGGAAGGCCTGTGCCGCGGGCGATCTCCTCGGCTCGTCCAGGGCGTACGAGCCTTCGTCCTTCTTGCGCATCCGGTACACGATGAACATGACCACCAGTATCGCGCAGAGGAGGCCCACCACCGCGCCGCCGATCACAGCTGGAAGCACGATCGAGATAGCTTAGATTTATTTTCGGATGATAAAGTATTTCTCGCGAAAAATATTAGGTAGCTTTAAGTGAACGATACACGCCTTGCGTTAATAATCATCACAACTGTCTCTGTAAAGTCTGTAAAGTAGAACTCGTAACTCTAGTTGAGATCACGTTTAGGGATGCCGCAAGACGAGACAAGACGAGATTTTGTAAAATGTCTCGAAAAAAATCACGACATGTGTATTCTCGTCTTGATCTCGAACCCGAAAATCTTGTCTTATCTTGAAATTCTCGAAAATTTCGAGGATTGTAAAAATTATGATTTTTTAACATAAAAGTGCTATAACTGAAAAAAATCGTAATTTATTTTTCACTGTCATATTAATCATAATTTATTATGATTATTATTATGATTTATTTACGTTTATTTTCACATAAAAAAAGACTATAACTCGGAAATAACTCATTTCCGGACTTATGCTTATAAGGCTTTTTTCCCTTCTTTTTGGGACTCAAATCACTTTCCAAAATATTACGGGCGATTTTTCTGGACATCTTGTATAGTCTAATGTGATCTGGACCTAGTAATATTGCTTTGAAATATTACTAATCATGTTTAAATTATTTACTTATTGTTAGTAAGACAATTATATTTATTATTTAAAACTTGAAAAATTTTAATCCGTTTGAATTTTCATCTTAAATTGTTGGAATAACTGCAGTTTAACTTAACGTTTCTAAAAATGCTTAACAAATTTCTAAAAAATCATTTTGTGAAAATATTCGAATACATTTTTCAGTAATTTTTTTTCGAAATTAAAATTTACTCTCATTTTATTATTTTCATTTCTATCAACTCGAGAATATTTTACAAAAGAATGGAATAATTTTTACAATTTTTCGAGACACGAAATTTTCGAGAATCTCAAGTCTAGAATCTTGTCTTGTCTTGAAATTCAACAAAAAAGTCTCGTCTCGAGACAAAACAAGATGAGATTCTCGAAATCTCATATCTTGACGGCATCTCTAATCACGTTCGAACAAACGGGCACCAGTTACGATCTGACCATTTCGATTCTCGTGATATACTTGCGCGAGTTCGAACGATAAGCTTTGTCACTCACCGGCTAATACGCCTGGCTGCGCAAAGAACGAGCTGGCGCGGTCTCCGGGTTTCGGATTCATGATATAGACCTCGTCGGTGTTGTCAGCGTGATCGTCTTCCGTGCCTGAGGGCTCGATTACGTTGACCTCGTTGCCGGGTCGGTTCACGGTTTCAATGGTCGTCTGGAAATTGGACACGGCTCGATCACTTTTAATCTGTTTAATTCGCGACCCCATGCGAGGGAAGTAAGCGCGCGTGTCGCCGAACAAAAATGTAGTGATCCGTTTAGAGCGGGAGGTGTCGCGTCAGCACTCTAATCGGGCAAATTAGATTGCACGCAAGAAATATCAAGCGCAATATCGTAAAACGTCGTGAAAAATATGATATACTCGTGCAATTTATGGAATGAAATGCAATTTTTTTTAATGGTTTCATCGAAGCCGTGTTCTTTTCCCGCGAGAACAAATCCAACGATTAGAATTAGCAGGCATTAACAGGCAGACAATTACTGCCCGCAATAATTTTCGCATTTTCATCGGCACGTGCAGAATATATAATCGCGAATGGAAGACGAAAATAGAATTCCATAAATTCCTTAAACGTGGAACGTAGTACATGAGAGTGCTCTAGGATACGCGAAACTAAAACTGAAGATCCAAAAATTTTGTAAAACTTGTATGTAATTCCAGGAACACATCGCGTTTACCTGTTGTTTAGTTTTGACGTTTGTCTCATCGATGGGATACGGAGGTCTCGCTTCGGTCGGCTTGCTCGGAACTTCTAGTCCATTGTTACCAGTAAACTCTGTAACGCAACAAAATTACGACGAAATACATTAAAATTGATATCTTCCACAAGTCCGAAACACAGATCTGCAAGAAACTTTTTTTTTCGTCGTTTTGACTAGCACGTTCGCGAAAGTTGAAAATGAAATTTCCAATCACCGACTGATTGGGGGATGAGAAACGATTTGCATGCGGCGATGGATACGCGCCGATATCGACCATTATTCACTTTTGGAAAAATTCTTTCGCCGGCGTAGCTGCCTTTATACCGCACATGATATTTTTGTTTTTAGTTCTTGTAATTGGCATTTTTCAATCGGATATTACACAAAAAGTCGTTGAAATTGTCGTTGAGAAACAAGCCGCACGTACAGATGAGCATTGTATTAGAGGCGAATAGTTCGAATTCGAATCGAATCACAGTGGATTCGATTCGAGTTCGTTTTCAAATCTGTCAGATTCGAAATCGATTAGTTCGAGAATTTCGAAACAACAATGTTTCGATTTCGAATCGGTCGCCTATTTTATTTGCTTCATTTATATCTCCCGCGCGATCAATTATTCTTATCTAAATAAGTATTTTTGATGTATGTAATGTATCCATGTAGATTAATATAAAAAATATTCGAAAGCATTCGAACTATTCGTGTATACACATATTATTAATTACATATTTTCTAGTTCAAAATGTCACATATTAAGATCATGATCCTTTGTTATGAGATGTAAATAAAAAACAGGTCCTCAGTTTGTTTAAATCATTGCGTAAAATAATGTAATTCATAAATTTTGATATTTATTACGTTTAAATTAACATGTAATGTAAATCTGAGAGATTAAGATTCGATTCAATTCGATTTCGAATATATTATTAAAAATTCGATTCGATTCGACCATGCAAATGCTTGATTCGCACACCTCTACATTGTATAAAAAATTGCATATAACAATCTTTTATTAAGAATAGAAAGAGATTCATTGGTCGACTAATGTCGTTTGGTTAAAGTCTATCTAGAAATATCGAATGTCATACCATGGTCATCGTCCCCGTCCTCGTCGTCAGGGCCAAGGCCGCTGCCCGAGGCCTCGAGGTCGTCGCGATTGTCGCTGCCACCTCGGCCGGAACCCTCTAAGGCGTCCTGATCGTCCAAGTACAGATCATCAGGGAAAGTGTTGTAAGTCGAGCTCGCCGACGTCCTCTGTTTGTTGTCGGTCTGTTCCTTCTAAAAATCAGAGAGAACAGCAATGTGATTTAATTGCAATCAATAGAGAACACGTCGTAATCGATGTTGAGTCTCGCGGCAGGATCGTCTGCCGCGAGACATGCTCCGCACAGGTCATTGACACGTTCCCGCGCGGAGCGCGAAGCTGCGCGACACCCGAGTTAACGTAATTAAAGGCACGCGCATATCTAAGCGCGTCCTCCTCGACGCGGCGGGATCCCTGTAACATGAAAGGGTCCCGGGTCGTCCCGCGGTTCATTAAATTTTAATTTAACTCTGTCGCGAGAGATATAGGAGCGATCTCCTCCTCGCTTCCATCTCTCGCGGTAGTTGCCATAAGCGGAGCGCGGGATTCAGCAATTTAACACCGTCGAGCATCACCATGCAAATGCGCAGAAATTTCAGGTTCAAGACGGAAGTCAAGACAAGTCAGAGAGAGAGAGAGAGAGAGAAAGAGGAGTGAGTTAAATTCCATCCGAGAGAAAGATGGAAAGGATGAAGGCGCAAGAGCTTCGCGACGACGAGGTTCCTCCACGTGAAGGATCAGCGTGGGTGGCGCGGGTTAACGCTGCTCCGTTCTATTTCTAAAACATCTCCCATCTCCTTTCCGTTGCCTAGCACCAAAATAGAAGAACGCACTCCATGGCGTCTTCCTCGCTTCGCTTCCCGATGTTTCGTATCTTTCATCGCGCGTGCAGCCTTTCGCGTTTAACGCGCGTATACAGTAACGGGCTGCGAAAAACCAGATTCACCGCTTTAATTTCACGCCAGAGATATTTCTTCAAGGGCGCGCGATAAAACTGAATCTCGCGTTGTTAAATTGAGCAAACGAACCGGGCGGCCGTCCGTATAGTTTTCCTGCGTGTAACAAAGAGCGGCCACGACGAGCGGATGATTGAGGAGGAAACGGCGGAATAGCCCACGCTTCCGGTTACGTGATGCCCGCGGAATGCGAAGTGACGCGCGTCGCGAGGAACGTTGAGCGTCAAACAAGTGGGATTGCCAATATTCCCAACTACGCGATATTGTCGTCGTAAGAAAATTTCATTTTCCCAGAACGATCAGAGGAGAAAGAGGAAAAGGAAAGAAGAAGAGTGTATAGTCGATCTAGATAATACGTTACTTTACGAAGCTGATAACGTGACTGATAATGAAACGCTTGAAAGAGAACGCACATCCCGCTCGGGGATTCTAACGCTCGCGTTAGATAGATCATCACGCCGCGACGGCGTGCGCGATCACAAGCGGATGGAATATCTCACAATGACGCGATAAAAATGACAGCGAGAAGAATTATAAGGACAACGAAAAATATTTTGTCTCTCGTCACGTCAATATTCCGCGATTGAATGGCGCTATTAACGAGCGCGTCGCGATCGATAGCGACGAAATTCGTTCTCGTATCTCGCTCTCTCCGCGCTCTCGTCCGCCGGGACGGCGATTTCCTCCCTTTCGCTTTTCGTCCCGAAAGACAATCGAGTGCTCGATGACCGTGGAAAACGCGCGTCCAGCACGTCGAACGCATTGCGTTTCGTTTCCGTTTCGTTTATACGCGACGACTGTGCATTGGTGCACGGTGCGACATGTCGTCATTCAATATACGACGAGATTCGAACTTGTTGAAACAGAGAAAACGCACCGAATTACGCGACGCTAAATTGACCGACGACAAATCGCCGGTAAATCCGACAAATCAAAAGTATTATATCTGATATTTTCGTCTGCCGGAGATGGGATCTTATATCTAATAATAATTTTTGTAAATTTTATACATGTACAACGTCGGGTAGGTATACATGTCGATCGTTGTTTGCCATTCGAAGAACGCAGGTTATATGACAACAATCTCCCTCGCGCATTGTCTTTCAAGAATCCAGAACGAGCGAGATATAAACGAGAATAAACAATTACGAGAATAATCATAAATGAATACGGAGAATTTTCCTTAATGTACACGGAGAGAATTTCTTTTTAAAATTTACCCAGAAAATCATGTTAATCGTGGGACAACATAGTATTTTGACAAATTTTACTGTGCACTACAATAAATCTATTGTAGTATATATTAAAAAATATAGTGAAAATCACATAAAATTAATCGAAATACTATGTTGTGCTACGATTAACATAATTCAGGGTAAATTTTAAAATAAAATTCTCTCCGTGTATAAAAAAAAGAGATAGAACGTACGTCACGTACGATATAAATTCGGACTCGTTCGCACTCGCGGCGGCATCATCCACTCCCATCAAGGTAGATTCGTTTATTCGAGTTCGTTCACGCGTGCTTGGTCTGGATCCACCACTCTCTAAGAGGGATGGCGCTGATCGGGTCGCTTCAGGCAAACGTGTCACGGAACGTATAACGAATGAAGAACGAATGATGAACCAACAACGACCAATCGTCGCAAGAAACAACTAGTTACCCGCAGCAATGGGAAGAGGACACAGATGTCGGCAAAGAATCCTCGACAAAGAGCAGGACAGGACCTGGACGTAGACGTTGCAGGCGCGTGCAGTCAGCCGCGCCGGCGACAGCCGAGTGCGTCGCCCGGTGTATCAGCCGAATCGATACCGGCAAACACGGCGCAGCGTCGGCCCGGTCGAACCAAGGGCCGAGACCTTGGAGGCACCCTTCATCATGGAGGGCGGAATCTCTCCCCAGGATAACGCGCGGATTCTCGCCGTTCACCGATCCGTGGCTGCAGTGGACTCGTTCAATTCTTATCCTTTTCTCACGCACATAATACGCGATCTTTTCTCACCCCTCTGCACGGGTCAAGCCACCCTGGTTTCTTTCTCCTCGTGTTTCGCTCTCCTGGATGCGGTGCTGGCCGGACGGGGATTGCGCGGGCGCGCGATGCTATCGACCTCTCCTCCTTCCGCGTCGCGTCTCACGCTTTCATCACGCTTCTCGTCGCGAAGACGAAGCGTCTCGCGGATTCGCGCTGGTCCTCGCGATGATCCTCGCGCATCCGCCGAACGAAGGAAGATTACACTCGGCGAAGGGGTGCGTTCACCTCTTTTCGAACGCCGAAATTTCTCGGGAGCTCGCGCACAAACGACGAGGAATCGTCTCGCGTGCCATCGCAAATGAACCTGCCGATATCGCTGTACTTACCGCGTTCGATTCGCTCGGGGATTGACGGATGTGTCCGGGCGGCGGAAAACGAGAAAATTCGGAGGGTGATGTGCAGCGGTTTTAGACCAGGTGGTGACTGCACCGACCTAGTACGAGTCCGACTCGGTAGACGGCACTGTCGAGATCCTAGCAACTGTGTATATATATATATATAAAATATATATAGATGTATATACAGTTCTCTGTATATACATTTATGCTATGTATATATATATATATATACATATATACACAGAATGTTTTTTTAAAGTTGGCGCAAGACGTCCGAGAGGACTTGCCCCTTGATAAATTCGAGCTTAATTGTCCCTCGGAGAGGAGATTTTGCTTATCGCGTTTTGCATTTCTTATAGTTTTTACATTCCGCGTTCTACACATATTCCAATGTAGATCTGACATATATACTTTGTCTTGTGTTTTACATCTGTGACTATTTTCGTTCTGCTTATCGTGTTTTACTTTAACTTTGTCCATGTCAGTTATACGAATATCATATTCTTTCGACTAGGTATCGTGGCAGCAATCCTGCTGATGCCTTTTCTTCGCGTGTACTCTGTCTTTCATGCACATTACGCCTATCCATCTTGTAATCGATCTTGTATGTACGCCATAAAATATTATTATTATTATATAAATAAATTACCAGCTCGTCATTGTAAACAATAGTCAGGATAAGAAGCCAAAGATGAGCGAAATACAGGTGTCAGTTAATATTTAATATAGGGGAGAATTGCCAAATGCGTATCGGTCATAAATCGTACCCTCTTCAATATTGTGTAGTTCCACTTAATAGAAGCAATATTTAGTAACAAAAATATGAAGTAAACAAGAAATGTGTAAGCTAGACAAAAAATGAACAGGTTACACCTTATTTTGTGCATGCTATCAACATTTAAAAAAATCAGATACAATGTAAATTTTTGATCAATTTATATAGCTGATACTAATGTAACCATGCAATTTTTAATTGAATCGTTATTTTTTTCCTAAAAGAAAGTTTATAATAGCATATTTTACATTCATTGTATATTTACAACTATTATAAAAATTATATCAATATTTTTATCACCTCTGTCAAGAGTTTCCTAAATCGTACCTAACCTAACTAGCATAAGAGTTCTTATATCGTATCGGTACAATTTAGGAACACTAATGTATCTTTACCTTTATAGATCACATGACATAATCAACATTATTTATTTTAACATGATCGAAGTTGTTCTGTAACAAGTCTGTAGAGAAAAAAACCGTCGTCGAGTTGCGCAAGCAAAACAGCTATTGCTTGATAAATTACAATTAAAGTAGGTATTAATTCATGATTCTTTTATCAATCTTGTGTTTTTAATTATTTTCATTTATAAATTCAATAGTTTAGAAGGAGGTACTATTAATAAAACTCACAGATACCATTTAGGCGACCGGTTTGCTGAATCGTGCTTTCTACTGCACATTACAGAATAGCTTATAACACATTAATTTGCTGTTAGCGAAAGGTTTAATATGTAATAATAGATGCCTTGAACATCAAGCTATAATTTTTAACGTTCGTTTGCATTTCAAATACAATCGAACCTCGATAACTCGAATCTCAAGGGACCGGCTATAAAAATCTTCAAGTTACAAAGTTTCGCCTTATCGAAGTTCGAGTAAAAGAGAATGTAACATATGAAAATTACGGAAGCTTTGTACGAGAGTTTATAATTTATAATGGGTTTTAAAGTAAAAAATTCGAAGTTTTTTAAGTCGGTTTTCGAGTTATAGAGGTTCGACTGTAGTACCAAATGTAAAATGTATAACTAAAAATACCTTAAGTGGTACAATTTCGCTAACTCTCCCCTAACTATGTTATTTTACATACTCTAGCTTCAACGAACTGCGTGCCGTTACTTTCGGATTCAGCGTGATGATACGGTTCTGTTTCAATCAAAGCTGCATTGAATCCGAAAGTAACGGCACGCAGTTCGTTGAAGCTAGAGTATGTAAAATCACATATAGTTATATTGAATATTAACTAACACCTGTATTTCGCTCGTCTTTGGCCTCTCTTATTCTGACTATTATTATTATTATTATTTAACCAAACGCAAAATACTTGGTGACTTTATATGCAATTACTGTAGGAGGCATCAAAGAGAAACTTGCAGACGAACGGTTAAGATGGACGAACGAATGGAATCGCGCGTTGTATTTTCGATTTACAAGATAAACGTACGCGCGAGCACGCGCGCGATAAATCCGTCAAAAGCCTCGCGAGCGAGCTCCAAACGTATTCAATAAGTCATACGATAAGGCGATTCGCGAACGGCGGGATATTGAAAATCTGCTCTACTCCGGTCGAGAGGGGGAGGGGCGGGGGGATGGGGAGGAAACGGGTAGAGCTTGTTGCTCGCATTTGCGAGCGCGCGCGTACACCCTCTCCCACACATCGTCGCCTTATTTGAATGGACGGGATTTTTCATATTGGATTCGAATCCGAGGGACTTAACTCGGGTCTGGCTGCCGCAATGCGCGCGCGTCCCGCCACGTACGACCGTGCGAGTATAGGTATATACTTCATTCCTTTCGCTCTCCACAACCGTCGGTTTACCCATCGAGGAAAACGATGGTCAACGCTCGAGAAAATGGAAAAATCGATCGTGCGGTAGGCGGCGAGGCCTACTATACCTTTTCACGACGCGCGCACGTCGACGTACGCTATATAGCGTCGTTATACAATGTGTAACAACGAGGAGGCAAGACTATATATGCGATAAAACGCACGATGAAAGCCGGATTCGGTTTAGCCCTGCAGCACCGATTCGAATGGTCCATTCAAACGGTCTCCGGGCATCCGCGGGATGACGGATTGGATTGAGGCACATGCAGCGGACTCTTGCTTCCGCTCCTCGGATTCATCTCGCGAATTCGCGAGACTCAAACCCTATACGGGTTCGACGATGTTCACCTATAGAATGCTCGAGGTTCCATCCCCTTTCTCGCCCTTGCGGAGAGGAATATTCGCCATAGCGTTGTTCCGGCGATAACGGCGCCCGGTAGTTACGACAAGAACACATGGAACGTGCGGTATGCCGTACAGGTGAATCGACCTGCGTTGCTCTTAGGCGATGATCGCGTTATCTCAAATCGTTGACTCTCATCGTCGTGTCATCGTCGTTGTCGTCGTCGTCGATGTGCGACGGCGACGGCGGACGGTCGGGACGTGACGGCAGGAAGAACGGCGGTGCTTGGCCGAGCTGCGACACACCTAAACGTTCACGGTGCGCTAACTAATTGTGCTACTTGCATAGCAGCGACCGAGGAGGCTGCACGGCCGATCGGACAATTGCTCGACTTTGCGAGGGAGAGGACGGTGAGGAGACAGGAGGCGCGGAGGAGGAGGAATTCTGGAAAAGTGTGACGCGCGCGTATTTTTATAGTCCTCTTGATCTACATGTGGGCGAAAAGCGGCACGGCAAGGAGAGTTTTGCGAGGCGAGATTATATACCATCATCGAGTAAATTGTAGCAAAAATTTTAATCGATTAATCTTCATAATCGAATTGAGATTCGCAGAGCTGGCAAGCCGATGTTACACGAGTTTCATTTTCTTCGCTTGGATCTTATCGGCGTAATCTGACTTAAACATCGATTTATGTGCTATTCGGGGAATGCTACGGAGATTTAATGATATACACTTTGCTGATCGCGCACTGCGCTTCAAGTATACCTGGAGAATTATGCGAATTGCCGAAAAGATCACCCCGATGTAGAATCCGCAAAATATTGCGAGCTAGATTCAAAGCTAAATATAAGCGAGAAGGATAAGAAAGATAAATCAAACAGGAAGCTTATAGAGAGCAGTCGCGCGGCTAGACAAGCTTCAATGACGGGGATTCGCGCGCAATAATTCTCTCAGTCGATTCAAACATCGAATACTCTCTCACTTGCGTGGGGCGCAAGTTATTCGTACACCGAGAGAGAGAGAGGCGTCGCAAAGGAGAAATGCAGAGGCCATCCTTTTTGAAAAAAAAAAGAGCAGCTCATTGCTCGATATGGAAGGGTAAGAGGAGCAACTTCTTTGCATGTTAAGCGTAAAATTAGGCAAATATCGGCAGTTCACCCGAGAGAACAACGCGCCGTGGTTGCGCAAAAAGAGTTTTTCCTTACCCACGAATCGACAGCCCTTCAAAAAAAAGGCATGTGACCTCGACCCTCGTCCTTCATCGCGATCGCTTCGTGCTAAGGACCCACCTCGCGCATAAATCATATCTTTATACGCTCTTTCTCGATACTGTTCTCCGATATGTCATAAATATCGCAGTGAAAGAGAGGTTTATAAGCAACAGAAAAAAGTTAGGAGGATATGAAGTTAGCAGACGTCAATTAAACGCAAAAAATTATGCAGTAATCTTCCTTCCATGTGCGATCATGCAAGCGTTTCAGTGTTACGTGTTACTCAGGGGTAATTAATTTCCGCAATAATCACGGAAATTTCGCTACGTTGTGTTTCGCTACGTATTTTTACAGAGCCACCTCATTTGCAGAATGCACCAACGATGGACATTGCACGAGTTTCCCGTTTATTATTTTCTCGCTATCTACGCTCGTTTCGCCTTTACCTCTCTCTCTCTCTCTCTCTTTTACAACGGTTCTCTCTTTCTCTCTCTCATATTTACTTGAATAATTTTTTTACCGTCCTTTGACGAGTGGCGTACGACTACCTGACGACAAAGGGATGCGGACTCTGCATCGCGATTTGATTTTTATGCGAATCACGTACCGCGCGGGTGAACCGCAAATTGTTGACAGAACCAACGGAGAATGTCGTTTTCACCGTTAGCTCAAGCGATACATTTTTCTCTCTGAATCGGCGAAAAGTCCTTCTGACCTCGGAAAAAGGCACGGAGAAAGCGAGGTGAACTTTTGCATGGCGTTCTCACGCCGAGAACGCTTAAATAAAATGAATCTTCGTTTCGCGCTGCAAAATCGCAAATCGTAATAAACGTAATTATTCGTAGCAGCCGGATAAATAATTAAACGCGCGTTACATAATATACGAAAAGCCATGCGGATCAAAACGTTCCG